AGACTCCCCACCAAATTGTTAAACTTTCAGCACTTTTATGTTCATTTTCAGGGAGGACTGACTGTCAAACTTTCTTTTCCTAAAAGTGGGGAGTCTAAAACCGGGGGGTCTGGGGGGTATTGAATACCCCCCAGGCCCCCTGGTCTTAAGACTCCCCACCAAATTGTTAAACTTTCAGCACTTTTATGTTCATTTTCAGGGAGGACTGACTGTCAAACTTTCTTTTCCTAAAAGTGGGGAGTCTAAAACCGGGGGGTCTGGGGGGTATTGAATACCCCCCAGGCCCCCTGGTCTTAAGACTCCCCACCAAATTGTTAAACTTTCAGCACTTTTATGTTCATTTTCAGGGAGGACTGACTGTCAAACTTTCTTTTCCTAAAAGTGGGGAGTCTAAAACCGGGGGGTCTGGGGGGTATTGAATACCCCCAAGGCCCCCCGGTCTTAAGACTCCCCACCAAATTGTTAAACTTTCAGCACTTTTATGTTCATTTTCAGGGAGGTCTTTCAAACTTTCTTTGCCTAAAAGTGGTGAGTCTAAGATCGGGGGGCCTGAGGGGTATGGAATACCCCCCAGCCACACACAGGTATACATTCCAGGATAGAGGAACTGTCGGAATTCCAATAACAATTCGTGAGGGAGCATTTCTTTTCTGGAATGCATACCTGTGTGTAGCTGGGGGGTATTCCATACCCCCCAGGCCCCCCGGTCTTAAGACTCCACACCAAATTGTTAAACTTTCAGCACTTTTATGTTCATCTTCAGGGAGGGCTGTCAAACTTTCTTTGCCTAAAAGTGGGGAGTCTAAGATCGGGGGGTCTGGGGGGTATAGAATACCCCCCAGCCACACAGGTATGCATTCCACGAAAGAAATGCTCCCTCACGAATTGATATTGTAATTCCAACAATTCCTCTTTTCTGGAATGTATACCTGTGTGTGGCTGGGGGGTATTCCATACCGCCCATACCCCCGGTCTTGAGACTCCCCACCAAATTGTTAAACTTTCAGCCCTTTTATGTTCATTTTCAGGGAGGGCTGTCAAACTTTCTTTTCCTAAAAGTGGTGAGTCTAAGACCGGGGGGTCTGAGGGGTATGGAATACCCCCCAGCCACACACAGGTATACATTCCAGGAAAGAGGAATTGTTGGAATTACAATATCAATTCGTGA